ACCCTGTGGGAAGAGAGTAGAGGCCCATGGGTGGGGACTGCCTTGGTGAAAGCAGGGCAAGTTCCTGCCCTCTGCTCAGCAAGGGTGGGGCCCAGCTGGAGGTGGGGGGCAGCGTGGGAAAGGGGGTATGCAATTCTACTTCCCCCATTCTCTATTTACCCAATTTCATGCCTACTCTTTGGGATGGGGAAAGATAGTGGCCATTGATTTGTCATCCATTTGGGGCCTGCCCTGACTGCGTATGCTGTGGATGTACAAAGGTCCTCCTGCCAAGGTGGAGACACTGCACCCATACCTTTGCGTTGTTCGCACACTGGTGGGGGAGATGCGAATCAGAGCATGGAAATTCCTGGGCCTAACTCTAGTTGTGCTCTGAGTATCTGTTGATAGAACAGATGGATAATGAGGAACAGCCACTTTGATTTTAGAAACATGCACTTGAATGAATTTGAACTCAGTAAATTCCAGCTGCATCTGCATCTGTTTAAATAAACATTCTCAGCAGGCGTGGTGGCACATGCCTGTAACCCTAGTACCCTGTAGAAGACTGAGGCAGGAAGATTGCAAGTTGGAGCACAGCCTGGGCAATTCAGCAACTTATCGAGACCTTGCCTCAAAAAGAGAAAGGTGGCATGTGAGGTTTGGGGATGGGGGCTGGAATGTAGCTTAGTGTGAAGGCCCTGGGTTCAGGCCCCAGTGCTACACACATACACACAGAGAATGAATGAAAAATAAATGTATTTGTCTTTTTCCACTTAGTTGTGATTATTTCTTTAAATAAACTTTTCTGGGGGGAGCATAACACACATGTAGGAAAGTGTGTGTATCGTAAGCATAAAATCTTAGGAGTACAGTTTGCAGACTTTTCTACAGTGAACATATTCAAGTCCCATTGTCCAGATCAGGAAAAGTGCTTCCAGTCCCATCAAAGATCACCTTGTAGGCATCTTTTACAGCTGATGTGTATTCATGATTTTGTGGTGCACTTAGAATCCTAGAATCGTTAATACCCTCGAGGCCCAAAGCACAGCTTGAGTCAAGGCAGTGGGTCAGCATGAACCTAGGAGTTAGAGGATCACAATTTGCACCTGCCCACAAGTGTCTTATTTCCTCAATCAAACTGCAAGTTGTAATTCCAAACCTGGAAGAGTGTTAAAGGAAGTGTTTAATGTGTGGGGTTCTGGCTCAAAATGTGACCTTCTATTCGGACCTACCTCCCCTGATCTCGGCAGTGAGAAAGTGCTTATTATTAAGAGATGGGATGGGGGGGCATATAAGCTGAAACCTTGGAAGATAAACAGGATTCAAATAGAGGAGGAACCTGTGCCCATGTGTAAAACATCTTGTGCAGAAGTGGGTGATAGGAACTATTAGCTCAAGAACCTTATCCGGGGCCCAGTGATGAGGTGGGATGGGTGGTTGTACCATGGTGTGAGGCTTGACTTGGGTGGACTTGTTTTTTGTTTGTTTTTGTTTTTGAGTACTGGGAAACTGAGGACCTCACACTTGCCAGGCAGGCACTGGGACACTGAGCTAAATCCTCTGCCTGGCAGGGCTGGTTTTTGTCTGATTTGACATACTCTCTTTCTGTTCTGTGTTACAATAACTTGGCCTTACCTTCTCCCTCTCTCGGTAATGAGCTGTTTGTTTCAGTTTTGTCCTTGAATGCTGGATTACAAGGTCCATCCATGGTCTCTGTTTCACCCAGGACCGGCTGTCTCTCTAAGGCTCCTAAAATGGCCATCAATTAAGCCTTTTCCTGGAGCTCTACTTGGCTGGACCCCACCCCCACTTACACCCTGCAGAGCTTTAGGCCACCCTGGGGAACTTCCCAACCAGCAGTGATCCACAAACCCATTTACCTTTTTTCCCTTTGTGTAAACTAAAGACTCTGCACAAGTGTCTGCATGGGTGGCTCCTGTTGGCTTTTTTCTCATTTACAGTACTTATTTTTACAGTATGGTGTCTTCAGATCCCAGTATCCCTGCCTTGCAAAGCATAGCCAGGTGACAGCTGCTGTTCCTTACCCACCTTGAGTTGAGGGGAGCTGTCTATAGCCTCTGCAACTGCGCCAGCTCAGAGAGGTGCTCGCTCCTCAAGATGGCTGAAGCTGAGTTTCAGAACAAACTGGTCCGGACATGGTAATACATCTGTGTTTACTGGATGGTGGGAAGAACATTGTCTTGGCTGATTTTGCTGAGATATTAAAATTATTTTTATTTTCTTAGGAAAGGCCTGCTGGGCAAGGAGGCATCTAGGGCTTGGGGTGGGGAAGTGGAGAGCCAGACATGACACAGCTGTTGGTTTTGCCAGCACAGACTTGGTGTGAGCTCTGGGGTGAAGATGCTGTACCTCTTGGAATCCTTGGATCCTAACTTTCAAACTCAGAGGACTTGAATTATAGTAGTGGTTTCCAACATTTTTTAAGCTGTGGAATCATTTTCCACAAAGATTCCACAAAAATGTGAGTGAAATCTTGTGCAAAAGCCCAAGAAAAAGAAAAACAAAATCTTGGCTCAGGTGGGATGGATATTCTAGATGGGTCCTATTTGGCACCATCCTGCCCACCCTTCACCTTCATTCAGGTGTCCTCGAAGATCTTTGAAGATCCTTGAAGATCTTTGGGTATGCTGGCACATGCCTGTAATTCTAGCACTGGGGAGGGTGAGGCAGGAGGATTGCTGTGAGCTCAATGCTAGCCTGGGCTACATAAGTGAGTTTAAGGCCAACCTTCAATACATAGTGGGATTGTGTCTCAAAAAAAAAAAAAAAAAAAAAAAAAATCTTTGGAAGTTGATTTGAGAAAACAAATACTTGGTGGAGTAGCTAGGGATTGCATGTTGGATAGGGAAGATTGCTGGGCAAGGTTAGTGTCATATGAAGCCTGCTCCATTTGTAGTGGGCAGTAAGGATTTAGAGACAGGCTGGTTAAGGATTCTTTCTCTTCTGTGTATGCAACAGATGGTCTGGCCAGATGTGGCACATGCCTCAGTCCCAGCAGTAGGTAAGCTGAGCCAAGAAAATCACCCCAAGTTCAAGACCAGTCTGGGCTACATAGTAAGTTCAATGTCACCCTGAACTAGATAGCAAGAACTTGTCTCAAAAAAAAAAAAAAAAAAAAAAAAAAAAGCCCTGCCATGGATCTACACCTCTAACCCCCAAGGGTGGTTTTCTTGTGTGTTTTTTTTTTTTTTTTTTTTTTTTTTTTTGTACCCGAGATCAAACTCACCTCACACTTGCCAGGCAGGCGCTTAAGCCACTGAGCCAAATCCCAAGCCCTAAGGGTGGTTTTCTTAATGGCTCTGGGCCAGAATGTCTGTGTTGTGCCCTTTGGCCAGCAGTAGGAAGTCAGAAGATGTGTGTAGGTGTGAGGGATTCAAGAGATATTCCAAAGAGAACTTCAGGAAAAGATTAACAGTTGCATTTGAGGCATCAGGAGCAGAGCTGGGGTGTTGGGTATGGGGTGCGGAGATGATAGGCTCTTCCTGGAATAGGTTGAGGTACTAGGGGAACTTCTGAGTGGGCAGAAGTAGGGGCTGGAGAGGCAGCAGGAGGCTTGTGATGGGAGGTGGGAGTGGGTGCAGCAAGAAGCTGGCCATACTTGTGGTGGGAGGTACCATGGGGTGCCCTGAGGAGGTGATAGCAGGCTCTGTGGCAGCAGAAAGTCTTGCTAACTCTAACCAAGAAAGGTATGGAGGTTCCAGTAGAGTGGGAGGGGCGCTCTTGTCTATGTTAGCCCTTCCTGTTCTCTCTTACCTTTGGTAAGGGCTCCCTGAGCCTGGAGCAGGATGGGGGCGCAGGGCTGACAGCTAGAGCAGGAAAGACACCAGGTGGCTGTATTCTGGGCTGTGCCCTGATACAGCCCTGGCAGGCTCTTCTCTGCTCCACCGGGCAGGTGGTAACTGGGCAGAGCTTTTCTCTCCACTCGTGCTGGAGGTGAGTTGGGAGGGTAAGTGCCCCTGATTCTGGACTAGAGGTGGAGGCAGTGCCAGGAGGGTTGGATGAGCCCCTGAAAATGCAATGCATGGACTTAGTTTACACCCCAGTGTGCGACCACCTCGCTGCATGACCTTGAGTAAAGGCCATTATTTCTGTGAGCCTTGTTTATTTATAAAATGGGGAAGAGTTGGCACGAGTTTGAACAGATTTCTCAGGCTCCACCCTGTTCTGAAATTCGGTAATTTCCCAACTAGACTACATTTACCCTGTAAGGGATGGGGAGGAAGGGGATGGTGAGAAACCTAGTACAGCGTGTGGAGCTGGGTCCACTGGCCCAGTTTGGGCCTGGCTGACCCTGTCTCTGGAAGGGACTTTGCAGGCGACCTTATTGGAGGGAATCCTCAGGGTTCTCAGTGTTGTCCCGGGTGCCACTTCTCAGAGCCACGCAGGAGAAGACCTGTTAAACGCGGCAGGCAGTGCCCTAGGCTGAGGTGGGGGTGCAGGCAACTCGGCGTTGAACGCTCTGGACGCCCAGAAGCGGCAGAAGGTGACACTCAAGGGCTACAGGAAGGGCTGGGAGGGTGCAAAGGCGGGGCCCGGTCGGGGGTAGCCCGAGGGTGAGGAGATCCTGGTCGGGGAAACCCTCCGGCCGAGGCTCTGGAGCGCCCTCTCCTCGGGCTCTGGCCCTCTCTGCGGGTTATTTCGGACCTGGGGGGCCCGACTGGGTCCTCCGTCCAGCCGAGGGAGCCTAGTGAATCTAGGAGATACTATTTTTAGCCGCCGCGGCGGGTGAGAGGAGACTATTTATAGATCAAACAATCCGCGCTCCCTGCGTCAATGGAACCCCGCGTGCGTCACGCGCACAGACATTCCAGGCCCCCCTCCTCGCCCCGCCCCCTCGGGCTCCCCGGCCCCGCGCCTCCCCCTGTCCGCCTCCCGCCGGAACCGCACCGCCCCCCGCGCCCTTGTATGGCCAAAGCTCGCCGGGCCGCGTGCGTCAGTGGCGCCCCCGCCCCTCCCCGTGCGTCACGGAGCGCTTAAGAGGTGGGTCTGGCTCGCCCGGGGAGCCCCAGTGGCGGAGGCTGCAAAAGTTGGGGGAGTGCGCAAGAAGGACTACGGAGCGCACGCGGGACGAAGCTGCGATTCGGGGCGCTGGTCCCAGGTAGGGGGAGCAGGAGCTGGCCGGGTAGGTGCCCCACCGCGGAGCGTGCATCTTTTCTGGGCGGTGCATGAAAGAGAAAGGTGTACGCGCGGGCAGAAACGCTTGTTGGTCGACTTGCAGTAGCGTGGTGAGAGTGTAGCTCTGGTGTTGATGGCGAGAGACTGGAGCGGAATGAGGATCCGTATCGGAGTGGAGTCTACTGGACGCGAAGTAGGGTGGTTGGAATTGCAGCACGGTGGAAGCCGCAGGGGGTTGAGGTTGGTGTCGGGAGTGGGGACTTGTCCAACAAGCAGCTGGTCTTAGTTCAGTCTCCCCGGGTGCCCCAAGTTAGGTCCTCGGCGTTCTGGACTTGATGCTGACAGGGGTATTAGTACACTGGGGAGAAGGTACAGAGCTCTGGTGCTGCTGGGATCTTTCGGATTCCAACTAGGATTTGATTTCCAAAAGGATCCTTTCAGGCTGTCAGCCCTTCGCCTCATGCCCCAGTGTGGGGTGTATGTGGGTGTGTAACTGTGTGTGATTTAAGCACTTTAAAGGCAGTATTAGTTTGGAGGGATTTCCACTTCGAACTTTTTGTCTGCATTCCTGCAAAACACCTCTGGATTACTGAAGGAAATGGCTAGTCTGGTGTTGGAACGGTAGAGAGGTGCGTGCTATATATTAGAATATGTCCGTTTAGAGTCAGGGTCAAAATATCTGGAAGCACAGGGAGGGTCGTTTTAGCAGTAGCTTGGATCCGGTGAGGTAGGTGTGTGTTTGCTTGTGCGCGTTCCTATTTGCACAGATAGATATGTGGAAACCCTTTTCCTTGGAAACCTGTTTGGAAGTTGCTAATTGCTACCTAAAGGATTCTCCCTGTCTTCCATTCCAGCCTGTATGCTCATCGCCTCTGTACTCCCTCCCCCAGTAGTCCCAGTTGGATTTTTCAGGCAGAGTGCAGTCTGAGGCTTGTTCAGTCTAACAGTGCAAACTACCTTGTTGCCAGGACCTGCCTGAAGCCGGATTCCCTCTTTCAGCCCCGCCTCTTCCTCCTCCCTGTGGGATGCCCCCACCATGGGGCTAGATGCATCTCCTGTTGCTGAATACCTGCATGGCCGTGGGGGTGTGTGTGTGTGTGACTTGGTGGGGGTTGATCCGGATGTGGGACGTCCTAGTGGAGAAACAGGATTTGAATAAGGTTGGAACAAACGCCCAGTCCTGCATGGCTGCCACCTTTCTTCCTTCACCTAGGCCCATCCCTGCCCAGGCTGTCCTAGTGCAGGCAGATGTGGCTGCCCTTATCTCTTGCAGGTACTGTGTGCCTGTAGACACCACCACTGGACAGGTGGGGCCAGAGTTTTGAGGGGCTCTTTTGTCTGGGGTCAGGGGGCTTCCTGGGTGCTTGGCTAGGAATTGGTAACAGCCTTTGGCCCATTACTATCCCCTTGATTACGGTACTTTACATTCCAGCTTGATTTCTTAGTTTTGCTTGCTGGATAGGGGAGCTCAGTGTGTGTAGATCACCCACATGACAGTGGAAGGGGGACAGGACTGTCCTGATGCCTTCTTTGCATGATTTTTGGGCAGTCTATGAATTGAAGGGTCTCTCCTGAATGAAATGTCTGTTCCTTCAGGGCCTCAGAATTAGGGGTGTGTAACCCCTTTGCCCAAGCTCCTAAAGGCTTCAGGACTGACATTTAGGCTTAGACCTAGGGAGGTACAGGATGTCTTAGATCCATCCATTGATAGAGAGTCCTTCTTTCTCATAACCCCCTTAAGACTTTTGTGGGACTCCAAAAGTTCTTTTATACAAATAATTAGGAAGCTGGGTGTGGTGGCACATGCCTGTAATTGCAGCACTCAGGAGGCTGAGGCAGGCGTATTGCCACAATTTCAAGGCCAGCCTGAGCTACATAAGGAGACCCTGTCTCAAAACAAACAGCGCAGAAATTCCTCTAAGAGACTGTCCCTTCTAGACATCTAGAGGGCTGTTCTTGTAGACTTCTGCTTCCTTTTTCACTTTTCTCAAGCATATATGGCCATTAAAAATATGGCACTGAGACAAGTGTGGTGGCGCACGTCTATAATCCCAGCACTCAGGAGGCTGAGGCAGGAGGTTCTTTCTTTCTTTCTTTTTTTTTGTCTTTTTTGAGACAGGGTCTCATTATGCAGTTCAGACTGGCCTTGAGCTCACTTTGTAGCCCAGGCTGGTCTCGAACTTACAAAGATCCTCCTCCCTCAGCCTCCTGAGTGCTGGGATTACAGGCATGAGCCACCATGCCCTGCTCAAGGCAGGAGGTTCTTGCAAGCTCAAGAGCAGCCTGGGCTATATAGTGAGCTCAAGGCCAGCCTGTACTGCATAGTGAGATCCTGTCTCAAAAAGACAAAAAAAAAAAAAAAAAAAAAAAAAAAAAAAAAAGCACTGTGCTGGAGATTGAGGCAGGAGGATTATCATGCGTTTGAGGCCAGCCTGGGCTACATAGGGAGTTCAAGACCAGTCTAAATTTGTCTCAACAAGGCAAAACAAACACATAAATGAACAGAAAAGCCCCCAAAGATCTGATGCCAGTTACCTAATCCTCTGAGGAGCTGGGGATGGTGAGGAGCCCTGGTTTCTCTTTTTTTTTTTTGCTTCTGAACGTATCCCAGGCAATAGTATAAGTACCAGGGCCAAATGGCAAGAATGGGGTGCATGCAGGATTTGCTGCCTTTGCTTAGCATACAGGGTGGAGGTGCGAGGCCCCAGTGCTCCAGTGCACTGCTACTTGGGCCACCTTACACATCTGGACCTCCACTCCCAGCCTCTCTTCTATCCTCAGGATGTCCGTCTCCTCAGGCATCACGGAGGTAGGAGAAGATAGGGCATGCAGAGGCTGGAGTGAACCTGGGAATATTCCCAGGAAGTACCTGGTTTGAGAAACAACAAATCTGTACCTGGGAGCTGGGCTGGGGCTCCTTTGGCTTTTCTGTACCCCTCCCCATGCTTTCTCTGGTGGGGGAGGGGCTAGAGGCTGGAGGAACACAGCTTTGGCCTCTTCTAGTAGAGAAGAGCTGGCTGGATGCCTTCTTTGGGGTTCCCAGGCTGGCTGGATATGGCTGGCCTTCTGACTGAGCCCGCTGAGTCTGGGCCACTGCCCATGGTTTTTGTGGCACTAGGCAGGGATCAGGAACCCTGGGTTCTAGACTGTGCCCTTGGTGCCTTTGTCCCATCTGTAGGCCCCCACCTGGCTGTACTGGGCCTGTCTTTTGACACTAGGCTTCAGACTTCACTCACTCTTTGCCTTCTATGCCTTGGTCTGTTTCTTCTTTAGAGATGCCCTGTATCCAAGCCCAATATGGGACACCAGCACCAAGCCCAGGACCTTGTGATCACCTGGCAAGTGACCCTCTGACCCCTGAGCTCAGCAAACCAACCATGGACCTGGCCAGCCCTGAGGCGGCCCCTGCTGCCCCCACTGCCCTACCCAGCTTCAGCACCTTCATGGATGGCTATACAGGAGAGTTTGACACCTTCCTCTATCAGCTGCCAGGAACAGTCCAGCCGTGCTCTTCAGCTTCCTCCTCTGCCTCATCCACGTCTTCATCTTCAGCCACCTCTCCCGCCTCTGCTTCATTCAAGTTTGAGGACTTCCAGGTGTACGGTTGCTACCCTGGCAGCCTGAGCGGCCCACTAGATGAGACCCTGTCCTCCAGTGGTTCTGACTACTATGGCAGTCCCTGCTCAGCCCCCTCGCCATCCACACCCAGCTTCCAGCCGCCCCAGCTCTCTCCCTGGGATGGCTCATTTGGCCACTTCTCCCCCAGCCAGACTTATGAAGGCCTGCGGGCATGGACAGAGCAGCTGCCCAAGGCTTCTGGGCCCCTGCAGCCAGCAGCCTTCTTTTCCTTCAGTCCCCCGACTGGTCCTGGCCCCAGCCTGGGCCAAAGTTCCCTGAAGTTGTACCCCTCCCAGGCCACCCACCAGCTGGGAGAGGGAGAGAGCTATTCCATGCCAGCTGCTTTTCCAGGCTTGGCGCCCACTTCCCCACACCTCGACAGCTCAGGGATGCTGGATGCACCTGTGACTTCAGCCAAGTCCCGGAGTGGCACTTCAGGTGGAAGTGAGGGCCGCTGTGCTGTGTGTGGGGACAATGCCTCTTGCCAGCATTATGGGGTCCGAACCTGTGAGGGCTGTAAAGGTTTCTTCAAGGTATTGTGCTACTTTGGGTCTGTTGGAAGTGGGGTCTTTGGTGGGCTTTCTTATCTTTTCTTCCTAGCTCATCTTATCCTGCAGAAATGGGATACCAAGTGGGCCACTTTCTTAGGGACCTACAGATGGCACAGGCTAGGATCTTTCCTTCACTGGGGTAGGCAGGTGCTTAGGGGACTACATAAGGCTGAGAGAGGGAGGAGGTTGCAGGTTGCAGGGCTTCCCAGAGGGTACCCGTGGTCAACCTTTAGTTGTCCTCTCCCCATCCCCCCAGGTCCTGGTAGGAAGGGGCCCCAGGCACTCATGTTCCTGGCATGAGATGAAAGGATCTGGGCAGAGGGTTGGTTCTTGAGCACTGGGGGTGGACTTGGGAACAGGCTGTGTATTTGTCCCAGTGCTGGGTGCCTGTTTAGCTTCCCAACCCCACCCTCCACCCCCAACCCTCTCCTGTGAGCCTTAGGGAAGAAACTGGCGGACAGGCTCCTTAAAAGACACAGGTGTCTGGACTGCTTGAGGACTGCTTGAGGAGGGGGTCCCTGACCCCTAGTCTTGGGCCTTGGAGTCTTCTTTCTGAAGGAGAAGTCTCCCCCAAGAACTTCAGGACTTCTCTCTCCCTCCCCTCCAGCTCTCCCTCCCCTGCCACCCAAATGTTAGAAAAATAGCCATGAACAGAGCGCTTTTGTCTGCGTCCTCAGCAGCAGGATCTGGACAGTCCCCTCCCCTGGGCTTCCCCCTCCCCATCCCACACTCTGACAGCCTGTTCCGTGTTGCACCCCCCAGCGCACAGTGCAGAAAAGCGCCAAGTACATCTGCCTGGCAAACAAGGACTGCCCTGTGGACAAGAGGCGGCGGAACCGCTGCCAATTCTGCCGCTTCCAGAAGTGCCTGGCTGTGGGCATGGTGAAGGAAGGTGGGTGTCAGGACTCAGCAGCCTAGGAGGGTGGGGCAGGGCAGGGTTTCCAGGCATCTGCCCTGAGGGCCTACAGAGGAGAGGAAGTCTGCCCTTGTGTTCCATTCTCTCTAGACCCTTGCTCAGGCAGGAGGCAGTGTGAAAGAAGTGGTGGTAGGAGCCTTGTAGGGTTCCTTGTGTCTCAGGGGCTTTGGATCTTGGGTCGTATGCTTCTCGATGGCGGTGTGTGCACTGCTCGGTCTGAAGGTCTCTTCCTTAGATTCGTTCTTCACTCCTGCTCAACCTTTTTGCAGTTGTCCGGACAGACAGCCTGAAAGGTCGACGGGGCCGGCTACCTTCAAAACCTAAGCAGCCCCCAGATGCCTCCCCTGCCAATCTCCTTACCTCCCTTGTCCGGGCACACCTGGACTCAGGGCCCAGCACCACCAAACTGGACTACTCCAAGGTGAGGCCCTGCCCATCCCATCCTACTTGGGGACAGTCACTGTGAACATATTCTTTGTGCATGTTAGGAAAGGCACTCCTTCTTGGGCACTTGATCAGAAAAAGAGGAGCCCCCTCTGGGCTGACCGGATGGAAAGGTGTACCCCTTTGGTTAACAGCCAGTTAGAAACACATGCTCCTCCCAGTAGCTGCAGACCTGGATTGAAGATGGGAAATGTCAGGCAAGAACATGGGCCCCATCTGGCATCCTGGAATGTGGTGGCTGATGTGGGCCCTGCCTGCAGTGCTTACCCCAGGGCCACTCTCCAGTTCCAGGAGCTGGTGCTGCCCTGTTTTGGGAAGGAAGATGCTGGCGACGTGCAGCAGTTCTATGACCTACTCTCCAGTTCTCTGGAGGTTATCCGAAAATGGGCTGAGAAGATCCCCGGTTTTGCTGAGCTATTCCCGGGTGACCAGGACCTGTTGCTGGAGTCAGCCTTCCTGGAGCTGTTCATCCTCCGCTTGGCCTATCGGTGAGATGCCTGTCATTCTTCCAGCCTCTTTCCTGCTGCTCCCATGAGTGCTAAGCCCTGACCACTGTCTGCACCTCTCCTGCCAGATCTAAGCCAGGCGAAGGGAAACTCATCTTCTGCTCAGGCCTGGTGTTGCACAGGTTGCAGTGCGCTCGTGGCTTCGGTGACTGGATTGACAGCATCCTGGCCTTCTCAAGATCTCTGCACAGTTTGGCCATTGATGTCCCTGCCTTCGCCTGTCTCTCTGCTCTTGTCCTCATCACTGGTGAGTGGTTGGTACCAAGTAGGGTTCTAGGACCTGGGTGTTGGAGTTCATTGGTTCTCAGGAGAGCACTCTAGGGGACTTTGAGCAGGCTGGCATCTAATACTCCTTAGGCTCTTACATTGTGGATTGCTGGTACCCACTTGACATGTTGGTGACAAGCACTCCAGAGGTCTCAGCTTCATTCCACTCCAAAGCTGGCCTTTGAATGACCCCAGACTGCCCACTGTGAATCCATGGGTGCCATGTGTCTAGCTTAGGGTTTTGGTTTGTTTTTCAAATTCTGCCTATCAACTGGGCATGGTGGCTCACATGTGTAATCCCAGCATGAAATGCTGAGGCAAGGGATCACAGATTCCAGCCCAGTCTGAAATACCTGTGGAAGCCAACCTGGACTGTCTAGTGAGACTCTGCCTCAAGAAGATACAAAATAAACTGACATCTAAAACTAAAAATCTCTGTCAATTATACAACATATAGGAAAGTGCACACATGATAAATTTTTAGAAACCACACTGGTATAACCAGTCCCTTGTCAAGAAACTGAGCATGACCAGCATCCCAGAAACCCTCCTCGTGCCCTGCTGTGATCACTATCTCTGTGTAAGGTGGCCACCATTAATTTCCAACAGCACAAACTGGCCATAGCTCCTGGGGACTTGTTATGTGTGGTTAGGCAGGAGGGGCTCTGGTGTTAATTGGAGAGGTATTCAGGTCTCTTATTTTATAAAGAACCAGCATGTGCCCCTGCACTCATTCCTTAGGAGACCTAGCTCTGTAGAACAGAATTAGAGAGGTATAAGGGCAAGAGAAGAAGTAGTGGGATCTGAAGTCAGCTGTTCTTGATGGTGGATCTAGAATAAGCTTGTTCAACTCCGGACCTTGCAGGAACAGCCTGGAAAAACCCTAGCCTAGAGGTTGGGGATTTAGCTCAGCAGGCATAAGTGCCTGCCTTGCAAGCAGGCAGACATGAGTTCGATCCCTGGTACCGATTAAAAAAAAAAAAAAAAGTAAAAAAAACAAAAACAAAAAAACCCTAGCCTAGCCTAGCCAGAAAACCTGGGTTAGAGTTTTATTTCCTTTTGTGACCTTGGGCAAGTGATTCAGTTCACTGGGCCCAGGCTCCTCCCTTGCAGTGTGAGGATAATGAGTGTCCCTTCTGATGAGGCTTGAAAATGGAACAGAGTCTGGATGAAGGTCACTGGTCATTCTTATGGAAGCCTGGGGAAAGCTGGGCCTTCTAGTGGTGGCTAGTCCTTGGCTGTGTGGCTGATCCTGCACCCTTCTTGCAGAACGGCATGGCCTGCAGGAGCCACGGCGGGTGGAAGAGTTGCAGAATCGCATTGCCAGCTGTCTGAAGGAGCACATGGCAGCCGTGGCAGGTGAGCCCCAGCCGGCCAGCTGCCTATCACGCCTGTTGGGCAAACTGCCCGAGCTGCGGACCCTGTGCACCCAGGGCCTGCAGCGCATCTTCTACCTCAAGCTGGAGGACTTGGTGCCCCCTCCACCCATCGTTGACAAGATCTTCATGGATACACTGCCCTTCTGACCCTGGCCCCAAGCATGTGTGCACAAGTATGTGCGCTCTTACGCCACTCCACGTGCCTTTAGCCCACGGCCCACGGACCCCCAGAGCATCCTCTGGCCTGGGCTTGGGCTGCAGACTGACTCATCTCCATACCTGCTGTAGGAGATTGGCAGGAAGCTCAAGTCCTGGGGAAGGGGCTGCATTCATGGTGGTGACCCCACAATTTGTCTTATTACCCCAACCTGGCCCTGGCCTTCGTGTTTTTTGTAAGATAAACCATTTTTAACACGTGCCGCTGTGCTGTAAATAAGCCGAATGCTGCTGTAAATACAGGAAGAGGTTGAGGGTGGGGGTTGGGAGGAAGGGATGGCCCCCTACCAGCCAATCAAACCTTCCCAACCTCCTTCAACTTGTTCTCTCTTCCCACCCTCCTTTCACATGTACATAAACTGTCACCCGAGGAAGAAGACAAATGACAGATTCTGACATTTATATTTGTGTATTTTTCTTGGATTTATAGTATGTGACTTTTCTGATTAATATATTTAATATATTGAATAAAAAATAGACATGTAGCTGAAAGTGGGATTGTCTCTGACATTCACTACAACTACACATATCTGTAATTACATGAGACAGAGCAGTGGCTCTAGGCAGATCTTAGATGTTACAATTTTTTTGTTTGTATTGGGAATCAAACTCGGGAATTTGAGCTTGCTAGGCAGGCACTTATGCTGATGTACTATGTTTCTCGTCCAGATATTACCATTTTGAACTAACAGGCCTCAATTTACACATTTATAGAAAGCAGATCATGCTTCACTCACGCTAGTTTCTAACAAGTAGACAGTTTCTAGGAATTTGATTGAACCCGGGCCTCATCATAATGCTAGGTAGGTTATTGTTCTGTGACTGAGCTATAACTTCAGCTCTCTAATTCTTGGCTTCCACATCTGTGAAGAATAGATCCAGCCTCACAGAGCTGTAGGATTAGAAGAGTGTTTGTATAGTACTCAGCATGGGAATGGATAGAGTAGAGAAGAACTCAAAATGTCAGTAGCTAATGTTTAAATTTTGTTAGATTTCCATTCTCAATATTCTCCTCACTCTGCAACAGGCTCTATACAAATAGTATCCCTGGCCTTCTGGCAAGAAAATTGTTCTGAGACTTACCCATGTCTAAGTGCCTCCATGTGGTTTCTTCAACCCCTCTGCTAGCTTATCAGCTAGCTTTAAATGTAGACTCCTGGGCTCTACTCTCCAAAGGCAGACTCTGAGGGATGAGGCCATTAATATGTCCTTTAGCTGCTGCCCACATTTGGGGGCAGGCTACCCTTTTGAAGTTAGTGGCTCCTCCACTGTGCTCAGTGCCCACCCTAGCCTAATTACTTCCTTCTTGGACCTATAGGAACACTTGCTTCTCACTACACCTGGCCCAGAACCTTCATTGCCACTGCATGAGTCCTGGGGATGGGCTGGATAGGGCCAGCCCCACTGCATGTGGGTTGAGCACAATAGGGCTCTGCTCTAGAGGCTGGGAGAAGCCAAGGCCTTTCTCAGTAACCTCCAGCCACATGCCCTTACTTGGGTCTTGGGAATGCAGTCCAGCATCAGCTTTCTGAAAGGTTGGCATGTGGCTGAGGCAGGGAGAGCAGTGACTGCCCCTCGTTGCCCTGTACACTTGGTCAATAGCACCAGCACCTGAAGGGGCAGTGGGTAGGGGCTTGCCTCTACCTGCCTGCTGCTGCCAGAGAAGACCCTCTTCTTCAAGGAGCCTCAGTTACCCAAGCTGTGTGTGAGGGTGTCGGTCTGGTGACAATGCACTGATCAGGAACAGAGCTTACAGGGAACCACCCACCACTGCTGCTAAACTTTATTCCTTTCACTTTGGTTCACTCTCCTCCTAGTACCTTTAGCACAGACAGATAGGGAGACTCGGTAAGCCTCTGGGGAAGGCAGAAGGACTGCAGTACTTAGGTGCTTGGAGTGGCGCCAGGAGCCAGGAATGGGTGGGGCAAAGGAGAATCTTGGTCCCTGCAATTCTCAAAGCACCATTGTGATGGTAATAGCTACCAGCTAGCTCCTTTTCATATGTTTTATTTCCAGGCCTCCGTTAACACCCAGTGAAGAAAGCGTGATTATTTCTACTTCACAGGTGGGCACTCAGCATAGTAAAACTAAGGACTCTGGATCCAGGTTGCTTTGGTTTAAATTTTGGCTGCAGGGCCGGGTATTTAGCTCTGTGGCATAAGCGCCTGCCTGGCAAGCGTAAGGTCGTGAGTTCGATCTCCGGTACTGCAATCAATCAATCAATCAATCAATCAATCAATCAATCAATCCATCAATCAATCTTGGCTGCAGAGCTTCGAGTGTAAGTCAGAGATAAAGCACATGCATGCTCAGTGTGTGTGAGGCCTTGGGTTAGATTCCCAGTGTGCACAGGTGGGCTCACAAATATACACACAAAGGAAGTAGAAGAAAATCCTGGTGCTGGCTCTTTAGATTTTTTCCTCAGGTATGTATTTATTTACTTTTTAAGACAAGGTCTCGGGGCTGGGGATTTAGCTCATTGGCATAAGCGTCTGCCTTGCAAGTGTGTGGTTGTGAGTTCAATCCCTGGTACCGATAAAAAAAGAAAAAGACAACAACAACAAAAAAAGACAAGGTCTCACTGTCATGAGCAATTCTTGAACTTGCAGCAATTCTCCTGACTCAGCCTGCCAAGTACTGGGATTATAGGTACTCCCCATGATGCCTGGCCTGGTGTTAACTTTTAAGAGCTGGCAAGTTACTTAATCTTTCTGTCCCCAGGTGTTTTTATTTATAAATGAGAAAAAACTATCTCTTTCATAATGTTGCCATTACATGAGTATGTATACATAAAAGTGTTTCCAGCGGTGCCTGGCATGGAGTAAACAACCAGTAAATATTAGCTATTGTTTTTCCAAGAGCCTAATCCAGAGAAAAGGAAGTGACTTTCCCAAGGTCACCTGGTTTGTAAATAGTGATTGGCTATGTCTGGTTTCTTAACCGCTGAACTTCCTAGCACAGTGATTTGTAAATAAAAGCTGCATTGGTGGCAATTACTCTCCAGGATTCTGGCTACTGGGGTACAGTGTGGTGGGGGAGGGGCTACCCCTCCAGCCCCACCCTGCCCCACCCAGCGAAGGCTGGAGGCAGGTCCTTTCTTTCCACTCAGCAACTAGAGGAACTGGCCTCCAAGTCTTGCTAGGGGCCCCTGAGTGTGAACAAGGGGGCATTGAGCCTGGTGGGACCTCACAATGGTTGCTCTGTCCCTGCTAGCCGGGGGCTGGGCCCATTTCCGACAGGGACAATAGTCAAAAGGCAATGACGCCGACAGGGCCTGGAATCCCGGGGCGGGATTTTCCAAGGCCTCAAAGCCTGCTGTTTGTCCTCACATGCAGACCCAGGAAGCCTGCCTCCCTGTCTCCCCATCCCACCCACGCTGGGCACTGTGCCCAGAGGCCCTGGACCCCTCCTCAGCCTTGAGATGACACCATGACTCAGGAGGGAGGATCTGAGGTCTAGGATGGGAGGGGCACTGTAAACCCTGGGGTCTGTACCCATGGCCCTTCTCTGAGGCTTGAGGTGGAGAAAGCTGTTCCATATCTGGGTTTTAGCCACTATGTCTTAGTCATGGAGAAAGGTGGTAAAAGTCAGCCTCCCTGAGGCTAGGAGATTCTGAAGGTCACAGACAAGCATGCTGTGGTGAACTGTGCTGTCTACATGATCCATGGAGTATCCAGCATGCTCAGCTTCGTGGTAGTAGCTTGTGGCCCAAGAAGAAGGTGTATGCCTATAATTGCAGTATGGGGAGGTTGAGGTAGGATGATCACTTCAAATTTGAGGCCAGCTTGGATTACATAGTGAGTTCAAGGCCAGTCTGAATTACACAGAGACCCTGTTTCAAAAAACAAAAACAAAAACACAACAGTTTGAGCCCAGTCCAGGCAGATTAGGAAGACCCTGTTCTCAAAAACTCAAAAGGCTGGGCCCATGTGGTGGCACATGCCTGTAATCCCAGCACTCAGGAGGCTGAGGCAGGAAGATCATTGCAAGTTCGAGACCAGCCTGGGCTACAAAGTGAGCTCAAGGCCAGCTTGAACTGCATAGTTTGAAACCCTGTCTCAAAAAAAAAAAAAAAACCAAACACACACACACAAACCAAGAGGGAACCCTGAGAGACCCTGTCAGAGATGACAAAACCTTTGTGGTAACTGGATGGTAAGCCACGATGGCCTTCACAGCCACAACGCACTTGTGTGACACATGTCAGAACTGTGTCTGGCCTAAGGGCAGCTGGGTTGCCTTCCTGTGAAAGCTGGGCCAGAGACTCCACAGAAGGTTTAAGCATACAAATTGGGATGAGCCTCAGTCTCTTCCTCACAAACCCCTGGGGGTCTCCGAGCCTCCTCAGAGGACCAAGCTGAAAGGGTGAGTGAGCCTTTGTCCACCCAGCTTCTAACCTGCAGCTGCCCAGCCAGCAACTCTCTGGCCTCACCAAGGCAGCTGGCTCTGGTTGTGAGCTCTCAGGTTGTGAGCTCTGCCTGACACTGTGCCTCCAGCCCTGCCCTAGGTGTAGGCTCTCAGGCTTTTGCCCAGGCCTCCCCCCACCCCCTCTTCCCCAAGTGTAGATTTGGAAACCTTTGGCCCCTGCAGTGGGAACAGGAAAGAGTCAGTACCAGGTTGAATTTTGTAAAGGTTCCTCGCTCCTCAGTGTGTCTTGCCTCTTCTGAGGGCAGGAGGCTCCCCAGCTGACTTCAGAGCTGGACAGGGGCTTGGGCCCTACCTTCTGCCTAACGCCCACCACCCTGAGCCTGGTTCCCTCCCACTTCCTACTGGGCCCTGACCCTGTCACAGGCTGGGGGGCACTTGAGGTTTTCTCAAGGTCTGACCCAGGTGCTGGCACTGTCCAGCTTCAACTTGGGACCATAAATCAAACTCAGCCAGGCTATGGAGGCTGGGGGTGGCAGCTGGGCCAGGGCGGGGGTTGTGTGGGGGGGCCCTCTCTGGTACATGCTGCGTTAGCAGGGAGCAGTGCCCAGCTGCAAGCCAGGCAGGCAGGGTGCTGACTTGTGCCACCCGCTTAGCCTGGTGCCCTCACCCAAGGAGCCTAGCTTTGGGGTGACCAAATTAGAACCCTAGACCCTAAACCAGAGAGTCTAAGATACTATGAAGATAGACAGACATACCCTGCCCTGCAGGAAACCAGGCTCAGATAAACAATCCTCAGGGCTAGCTACAGATTCTCCCCCTACCAGGGTGGATAACCACCAATGCTGTTTGCAGGGGCAGTCACATAGATTACTCCAAGAATGATAGATACACACAGCTCCCAAAGGAACAGATACACAGCCCTTGCAGGGAGAAACAGTCTCCCTAGGGATATATACACAAAAATAAAGCCCCACCCCCAACTCAGCTAGACTAGACAAACACAGACCTTCCCTGAGCAGCGAGGCAGCTTTTCCCCAACATGGAGGACAGATCCCTAAATCCTAGCAGGACAAAGAGGTAGACACGCAATCCCGCCTGGCTAGGGCTAGAGGCTGCCAGATGAGGTTAACAGGTTGGGGCTGGGAGGTACCTCTTTCTCACGCCCTCTGCCACTTTCTCTGCCTTCTCTTCCGCCCAGCCATTTCCTCTGCCACAGAGGGCGGGGACTGGGAGTGACATCCTAGCAAGGATGGGAGGTGGAGGAGCCCCTGCCTAGGATCCCAGGGGCAGAAGTCAGAGGAGACAGCTGGTCCTCTTCACCCCTGTGGCCTGGCCCTTGGCTGGAGGGTCAGCAGACAGGGTGCTGGCTGCCTATCCAGCCAGGCTGGCCATCAGGAGCCCCTGGCCTGACGTCAGTCCCACTCATTGTTGTTTCTGGGACTTGAGTCACTCCCTGTGACGCCATTGGGGTCAGCTCCAGAGCGGCTGGAGTGGCCTTCAGGGCCAACTTTGGGATTCAGCTCTCCCCTGGGTGCACCCAGGATGAGGTGGGGCTATCTGAGGCCACACTCCCCGAGCAACGTCAGCTGCATACTCCCAAGGTCTTGAGTTGGCCTTCAAGGTCCTCCACAGGCCTCTCTGCTGCAGGCGTGGCTAAAGGAGCCCTGGTGAGCTGGTGAGCGGCTATCTGTTTGGCTGGCTGGGGCTCCGGGCTCTGGCTGAGAAGTGCTCACTCCCTCTCTGCTAACTTCTCAGGCCAGGGAACCCTGATCCCCTCTCAGACTTCAGTGAGACCTCTTCCTCCAGCCTTGCATTTTCTTTCTCCAGAAAGTCTTCCCAGAGTAATCTCCCAAAATATCTCCTTCTTCCTGCAACCCCAGCCCCCTCCCCTGCCCATTGGGCTATTGTCCTGACTTCTCTATAGCCCAGTTGCTTTACTTCTGGTACCTAGGCACTTCCTAACTTGCTGGGAGCAGGGCTTGGGACCCTTCCTTGCTCTAAATGTGTCACTTTTCTTTTCCATCACGCCATCTCTCTGGGATGACAGCAGCCATCCTGGCGGTCTCTTACCCCAAAGACTCTACTGTCATTTATTTCATACTACTTGTTAGGTTTTCTGGCCCAGTGTTGCCTTTGGTTCATTTCCTCTGTAAGACCTGGAGCTCCCAGAGGACTATAATTGTGAGTTGTCCATTGGTATTACAGGTATTACATGAGCCTAGCATACGCACAGTTATATATGTTTGCCATGAATGAATGAATAAATGAACAATTATTATTATTATTTCGAGACAGTGTTACGAGTTCCAGACTGGCCTGGAACTCATGATTTTCCTACTTCAGCCTCCTAAGTGTTGGGATTACAGACACGTTCTCCAATACCTCCCAACAATTGCATCTTGATTACTATGGGTAAAGGTGTATGATAGGAAAATTCACCTTAATAGTCTCATATTTTTTGGCCAAGACCCCCTCCCTGACCAGAAGACTTAGATGGAAGTGGGACCTTTTGCCTCAGCTTTAATGAGAACTACCCTGAAAAAATTTAGGGAAGTACAGGCAGCAAAGCTTTACCACTTGGTGAGACCAGACAGATGAGAAGACACTAGCACAAAGAAAAGCTCCATGGGGAGGATGAGTTTTCGAGTAGGGTCAAGGGTAAAAAACTAGTGGAGCCAGGTATGGTGGTGCATGCCTGTAGTCCCAACCCTTGGGAGGCTGAGGCAGGAGGATTGTTGCAAATTTGAGACCAGCCTGGGCTACAAAGTGAGCTCAAGGCCAGGCTGAACTGCATAGCAAGACTCTGTCGCAAAAAGACAAAAACCAACCAACCAAACAAACAAACACAAACAAAAAACCTAATGGAGTTGGGCATGGAGGTGCCTGCCTGTAATCTTAGCAATAGGGAATTCAAGTTTAGCCTGGGCTACATATCTGAGTTTAAGGTAAGACTGGACTATGTAATAAGATTCTATGCCAAAAACCAAAAAATTGGCTAGGTTTGGCGATACATATCCATAAACCCAGAATTTAGAAAGCTGAGGCGGGATTACTGTGAATTTGAGCCCATCCTAGGCTACATAGTAAATTCAAGACTAGCCTTAATGGATATAGCTCAGCAGTACAAGAGCCTGCCTGCAAGCGCAAGGTCCTAGTTGATTTCCCTTATAAATAAACACACACACACACACACACAAACCAAAACAAAACCTAGCTTTAATTACATAGTGAGACTGTCTCAAAAAATAAAAACAAAACAAAAATCACCACCACCATCACCAAAATGAAAAACATGGTGATACATACCTTTAATCCCAGTGCTCAAGAAGCCTGAGGCAGGAGGATCACAAATTCCAGCCCAGCCTGAGCAATTTAGTAACCTACTAAGATCCTAGGGCTGAGCTCAGTGCAAAAAAGGGGCTGGAGATATAGCTCAGTGCAAAGGCCCTGGGTTCTATCCCCAACAGAGTCCTGCCCCCCATAATGGAACAAAGAAAGAGCAGTTGTGTGCTGGGTGAATAATTAGTCAAGGATTTCAGAGACAGAGAACTAAAAGGACACAAACACACACAAGAGGGAGGAGAGATATACAGATTTATTATAAGAAGGCTGATCTATCACAAGATCTGAAACCACCAAGTTGAGAGCCAGCAGAGCTGATGGTACAGCTTCTGTCTGAATTCAGGTCCTTCAGACCCAGCAAGAGCAGGAAAGGACTGAAGTCTTGACCCTATAGCAGCCAAAAGGACTTCCCCTTATTCACAGGACAGTTGGGCTTTTGGGTCTATCAGGCTTTAATCTGAGTAGGTGGGGCCATTCACACAGGAGAGGGCCACCCATTTTTCTCAGTCTACCAATGAAAAGGTTAATCTTATCCAAAACATCCTCATAGACATACCTAGAAGGTTTGACCAAATGTCTGGGTACCTTATGTCCCAGTCAAGTTGACACATAAAATTAACCATTACAGCAGGTCACTGCATTTTACTGAGGTTTCATTATCTGTAAACTGGAGCTAGAAATCATCACAGTAGTGACTATAAAGTCTAATGACTAGAAAGGCTTGATGATGAGGAGGGTAATGATATCAGGATGGTGTCAGCAAGAGGCTTGAGACAGTACATCAGGCATAGGTAGAGGTAAGTCATTCTCTTCATCACTGGCAGGATCTAGGGGTTGGTCTCTGCTTCCTCTTCTGTAGCAGGGTTAAGCTCTTGATTCTCCATACCGTTTTAGCTTTTCACAGGTTTTCCCTTTCACTAGTTTTCTCCTGATGGGCTCCTAGTTTATACATGCTCTAGAGAGGTGTCTGGTCTGTAGAGCGACCATCTGTCTCTTTTTCCAGGTCCTAGGGGGAATCCCTAGCTGCCCAACAAGAGGCACTCCTCCCTAGGACAGAGGCAAGGGCTGAACAAGAACAGATTCATAGGGAGGAAGGAAAGGGTATCAGGAACAGACGAGGGGAAGAAGGCCAACAAGAGGAGGTGGGTATGCAGCTGGGTCTAGAAGAACAGATGGGAAGAGGGACCTAAAGGGTGGGGTGCTGGAGCCAGCTGGAGCCACTTAGGAGTCTATTGCACCCCTGATGATAAAGATGTAACCATTAGGCCAGGTGTGGTGGTACATATCTGTAATGTCAGAACCCTGGGAGGCTGAGGCAGATGGACTGAAAATTGGAGCCCAACCTGGGCATTTTAGTGACTTGTGAGACCCTATTCCAAAATAAAAATATTTTTTAAAAGTTTGGAATGTGGGTTAATGGAAAGGTCCTGGGTTCAATCCCCAGTCCTGGAAAAAAAGTATGCAATAATTTATTCAGTACAGATTGAATTCAGTGATATCCTGTAGGTTGAAATTGGTATGGTAGGGGCTGGGTATTTAGCTCAGCAGCATAAACACCTGCCTTGCAAGCAGGCAGTCGTGAGTTCAATCCCCGGTACCAATAAAAATGAAAAAGACAAAAAAAAAAAAAAAATTCGTATGGTAGAAAGTTAACAAAAAATACTACAAATCAAGCTGGGCATGATGGAGCCACCTGTAATCCCAGTACTTGTGAGACTGAGGTACAAGGCTTGCCAAAAGTTCGAGGCCAGCTTGGGTTACATAGTGAGTTCAAGGACAGTCTGGGCTACATATGGAGACCGTGTCTCAAAAAAAAAGGTACAAATCAAGGGAATTCTCTGTTAGATGTGGGTCAGCACACTACTAGTGAGTGGGTTACACATTGGAAAGTGATAGTGCACAGGGAGGGCGCTGCTGGAGGCCAAAAAGGGAACTTGTTTATTTGTTTGTTTGAGATAAAGTCTCTCTAGGTAGTTCAGGTTGGCCTTGAACTTACTATATAGCCCAGGCTGGCCTTGAATTTAAGGTGATCCTTTTAGCTCAGCATCCCTAGTGCTGGGATTACAGGGATGTACCACCACACCATGTTTAGAATCATGCCCTTTTTGTGCCACTCAATAAATGTTACCTACCTGTTACTGTTTTGGAAGATAAAGTGTGTTTAAGACAAAGAGGCATTTTAATCCTCAAGTTAAACAACTCAAGAGTGCTCCCTGTTGGAGGAAGCATGCCTGGCTCTGTTAGCTAGCAATTGCCAAATTCATCTGCCCTGGCTTTACAATCTGTGTGAAGAATCAATCATGCTCCCTGGCAGTTACACAGCACTAACATTAACTGAATGCTTCCTGGGTCACAAATGCCCTGGGTCACAGACTTTCATTTGCGTTAACGCTTGAGAGTCTCAGAGCAGCTGCCTCTTTATAGAGCAAATCAGAATGAGTGATGTCAGGGAAGCAATGACCAAATTAAAAGCGTCACAAGAACTGTCCAAATCGGGCATGGTAGAGCGCCAGGTAGTAAGTGCCACAGTATGAAGATAACCCTCAGAAAGGGCAAGTCCCTTTCTCCAGTACGTTTGTATGGATTGAGTATCAGGGATCTTTCTCATTAACTATGTTGGACAAGTCCACGTATTTGCCACCCACTCAGCGTCACGCAGCCATATCGGAGTGCGCTCTTGCCCAGACTCTTGTCTATAAATGGTTATGCCCCTGAATTTATGGGGATCGGTGCCTTTTTCCTAGTTCTCAGCCCAGAGTTCTGGACCACGTCCTTTTGAGGGGCCAAGACACCTTTTCGCCAGGGGAGGCAGCGCAGAGCCCATCTGACCTCTCTTTCTTTCCCGTCTCTATGGCGGAAGTGAGTTGCTCCAGCCAAAACAAGTCTCGCTGGTGGGAGTAAGTGGACTCGTCCAAATAAGGGGGATACTTTATACCGTAAAGTCCTACGATCCGAGAAATAATCGAGAAAAAAATAAGCACCCAAGCTTCTGAGCAGAACATGAATATGAGCGTACCTTCTGATGAGTTTCCAGATGCCGTGGGCAGCGGCAGAGGTGAGAGGCCTGGACTGATCCCGCGCTCCCCAGCTGGAGATCGCAAGTAGCACGCCCCGATACGTCACTCGCCCGGGTGGGGCGAGGCGTCTGGTCCCTCTCGGGTGTTGCGGCGGTGGTCTGGCACCTGAAGTGGCGGTTGTGTCGTGGCTCACTGGTTCTAGACCTGAGTTCCAAGAGGTAGGAGACCGTCTTAACCGTCTGCCTTTCTTCGAGTGCTGGTGCGGGTACCTCCAACCGCGGCGGGCCTAAAGGAGCGCGTCGACTCCCAGAGTTCGGCGAGGCTTAGTTCAGGGCGCCGCCCCCGAGAAGTCTGAGCAGTTTGCTTCTCCGGGTCTCCGCAGACTGTAGAGATTGTGGACAGCGGCTAGGGGCAAGTGACTTTGCGGGAGACCCTTTTACGTTTTCTCCCAGTTTTCGACACGAAACTCATAGTCTTCTGTCTTTGTTTTAGTCCGTTTCTCGCCGTTCAGCACTCGCGCAGAGTTTGGAAGCATCTTTGCGGAGGTCCTACCACAGCTGGAAAAGGGGCGATCGAGCCCGAGGGAATCGCTCTCCGTCCTAGACGCGTAAGGTGGGGAAGGGGTTGTCTTGAGTTTCAGTCACACTCCACTCAACTTCAGCCCCTTGCAGGGACCTCAGGCACGCGGTTTCCCGGGCCTTGTATTCCATTGCTAATCAAAGTGCTGTGACTGGACAATCAAATACAGCTGAGGGAGAGGCTAGGGTTGGTTAGGACTGACTTTCTGGGGGAGTGGATCCTGGAATAACACTGAGACTGAGGGAGAACCCTGAACTTGGGGCCAAAATGGGGAGGTATATGGAAGTTTGTGGGGAATCCAGAAGGGGAAAGTTAGGAAAGAACTGGACTAGAGCTGGGAATCCCTAGGTGGGAAACTAGGGGGATAAAGTTAAACTAGAGGGCAGGTCATCTCATCCTTGATGAAAGACAAACGAATGCAGCAACTCCTAGAAGGACCTGGAATACTGGGCAGGCATGTTTATGGCAACTGAGGACATTTAACTTGTAGAATAGTGAGGAAGTGCCTGGCAAAATAGCTACTTCTAAATATCAGAAAAACTCACTTGTGGAAAGAGTGAGACTGATTTTATGTGGCTTCAGATAGCCAAAGCTCCCTGGTTTGAAGCATGAGATGGAGTAACTGAATAGAACTGTCTAGAGACAAGATAGTGTTTTCTTTTTTTCCTTGTTTTTTTGATAACGGGGATCGAATTTTTGTTGTTTGTTGAGACATTATCTCGCTGTGTAATTTAGACTGACCTTGAATTTACTTTGTAGCCCAAGCTGGTCTCAGATTCACAGTGAGCCTTCTGCCTTAGCCTTGTGAGTACTAAGATTACAGGTGTGTGCCTCCATGCCCATTTTAAAGATGGGATAGTCTCATGTAAGAAGCAGTGAATTTCCTGTTAGGGGCACTTTGCAAGATGAATATACAGCTATGAAACTTGGCTGTTTCTCTGGACTTTTTCCCCCTGCTGCTTCTTAGCACTGAGAGCATGTTAGGCAAACACTCTGCTATTGAGCTAGATCCCAGTTTGGCTCATATTTGACTATTTACTAAGTTTTCTCAGCTACCTTTACCTTCCGACTTTTCCCTGCCACTGCTATAGTGTGACCTGGCATTATCTCTAGGCAATAATAACATAATAATGAATTACAGGAGCTAATGCTCAGTGAATGTTTAGTACTTGCCAGGTCCTGCTTTAATTGGTTTACACATGCTAACTCTTTCATTCCTTGAATAATGCTTTGAGGGAGCTATTACTAGTTTTCTTTTATAGATGGCGAAACTGAGGCATATATTGTTAAGCAGCTTGACTAAGATGGGGAGTAATGGCAGAGTTGAAGTTCCATTCTAGGCTAGCTCTGGCTTTTGAATCATTGTTCTTGACCAGTATATTGTGTTTTACGTGTATTTCTTTTATTCTTTCCTTTTGTTTTTTTGGTACTGGATATCGAACTCACAACCTCATGCTTGCTAGGCAGGCATTTATGCCCCTGAACTAAATTCCTGGCTCCTTTTCTCTTGTTTTTGAGTCAGAGTCTCACTGTGTAGTTCAGGCTGGTCTTCCACTATGTAGTCTACCCTGATCTCAAACTCACAGTGATCCTCCTGCCTCAGCCTCCTAAAGTGCTAGGTGCATGTATTTCTTTAGTCCTTGCCACATTCCCATTTATTTTTTATTTTTTAAATTTTTGTGGGGTCCTTCAGTTTAGCTCAGTGGCACAAGTTGAGCTATATCCTCAGCTCACATTCCCTTTTTTTAAAAAATTTATTTATTTATTTTGTCTTTTTCCTTTTTATCGGTACTGGGGATCGAACTCAAGACTGCCTGCTTGCAAGGCAGGCGATTATGCCGGTGAGCTAAACCTCCAGCACCACATTCCCATTTTTAAAAATTTAATATTTTTGTGGTCGTGGGGATTAAACCCAGAGCTTTTGCATTGAGTCATACCCACTTTTTTTTTTTTTTTTGTCTTTTTTCGTTTTTATCAGTACCAGGGATGGAACTCAGGACTGCCTGCTTGCAAGGCAGGCGCTTATGCTGCTGAGCTAAATCCCCAGCCCCCCCCCCCCCACTTTTTTTTTTTTTTTTTTGTCTTTTTCCTTTTTATCGGTACCGGGGATCGAACTCACGACTGCCTGCTTGCAAGGCAGATGCTTATGCCGCTGAGCTAAATCCCCAGCCCCCCCACTTTTTTTTTAAAGACAGATTCTCATTAAGTCAGTAAGTTGGCAGGCAGGGCTTGAACTTTCTGTCTGCCTCAACCTCCCAAAGTATTTTTTTTTTTTTTTTTGGTCTTTTTTTATCGGTACCAGGGATCGAACTCAAAACTGCCAGCTTGCAAGGCAGGTGCTTATGCCGCTGAGCTAAATTTCCAGCCCCTAAGCTTCCAAAGTATTACAGGGATACCACAGTGCCTGCCTTACAAATCCCTTTTTATAGGTAGCAAGCAGGTTCCTTAGAGTCCCAAAATGTTAGTCACCACTGTGACAAAATACTTGAGATAAATGACTTAAAAGGAACAAAGATTTATTTTGTTCCATAGTTTCATCATGGTCTGCTGGCTCTCCTGCTTTACAGTCTGTGGCTAACAGGACATTGTTGTGGGGAGTACAAGTTGGAACAAAGCTGTTTACCTTATGGCCACTAGGAATCAAGAGCAGATTGGGATGGTGGACCTGGGGTCCTAGTATCCCTGCAAAGGCATGGCACCAGTGTGTCCTTTGCTAGGGCCTACCTTTAGGTTCTACTATTTTGTGTTAGCACCACAGGCTGTCAACCAAATCTTTAACGCAAGGCCTTGGGGGACATTTAAGATGCAATCCGGAGAGCTAGGTGACATGGCACACATATGTGGGCTCAGCTTCTCAGGAGTGGACACAGGAGGATTGCCTAAGAGTCCAGCAGTTCAGCACTGCCCTAGACAACAATTATGTATTTATTTTTGTGGTAGTAAGGATTGAATTTAAGGCCTCAATGCATACTAGAAAAGCTCTGTACCATTGAACTAAATCCCCAGCTCTATGAGTTCATTTTCTTTTTTTAAAAATTTTTTTATTTTTTATTTTAAGGAGATAAAGACAAAAGAGGACATAACAAAGCAGGTCAGAATAGAACAATGTAAGCACAGTATTTCATCTATATTTCATCTATATTTCATATAGATATAATAGTAGCTACCATAATGTCTCTTTCTTTGAAATAGTTGAGCATATCTTCATATACAATAGTATCAAACATAACAAAATAGTATAAAACCATTCAAGAGAATGAAAGTGTTACAGGGCATTCAGAACCAAATAACAGAAACAATGGCTACTGTATTATCTCATAGTCCATAATAAAATCCAATAAGATACAACATGAATAGGGCCTGGGGATTTAGCTCAGCGGCATAAGCACCTGCCTTGCAAGTAGGTGGTCATAAGTTCAATCCCCTGTACCGATAAAAATGAAAAAGACAAAAAAAAAAAAAAAAAGATGCAACATGATAGAACCAATTTTTTTTTTTTTTTTTTTTTTTGTCTTTTTGAGACAGGATCTTGCTATGCAGTTCAGACTAGCCTTGCACTCACTTTGTAGCCCACGCTGGTTTCAGACTTGCAATGATTCCCTTGCCTCAGCCAGCCCCAAAGTGCTGGGGTTATAGGCCTGTGCTATCATGCCTGGCAGGCCTTTTTAATAAAAAGAAAAAAAAAGATTTAGAATTGGCTTTCAGATTCAGGACCCTGAACATGGAAATTCCTTGCATTCTGGACCTCACTGTCCCACACCTGATTGTAACTGTATCTGCCATGACTGTAATGATCTCTACATGGTTTTCTTGCCCAGTCTCTTTGCTTTAAATTGTCCATTTTTATGCTGGAGCCTGGACAACCTTAGACATGTGTGGGATTTGGTGTGTATTATGTGTATTGTGCAGGTTTTTTTTGTTTGTTTTGTTTTTGAAACTGGGTCTTGCCATGCAATTCAGAAGCCAAGTTTGAGCTGTGGAGCTAAGGCTGCCCTTGAACAGTCCTCCTGCCTCAGCCTCCTGAGTACTGGGATCACAGGCCTGTGCCATGTCACCTGGCGCAATTCAGGGTTTTTTTTTTTATATTGGGGATTGAACACATGACCTTGTGCTCACCAGCCAGGTGCTTACACTGGTGAACTAAATCCCTGGCCTCAATTCAGGTTTTTTTAGGTACCGGGGATCGAACTGTTGCCAGGAAGATGCTTGTGCTGCTGAGCTAAACCCCTGGCTCAATTCAGGTTTTAAATCTGAGCCTACGTAGCTTTCATTAATTTCTCAAAGCAGATTGTAACCCCAAAATAGTTAGGAACCACTCTTTGGTAGAATTAAGTTTTTTATGTACAGATTTGATTTTGGCATGGGATGCAGTGACTCTTCACTGCTTTCAGGACAGAATCCTAAGTGTCTTGACCTGGTCATGCAAGCTTCTAAGACATCAGACTTTGGGTTTTTCTTTCTTATTCCCATCTTGTGCTTTTACACATTAGGGACATTCACCTGCCTGTTTCTCTTGCA